AAGGTGCAGATGATTTAGTCTCCAGTGGAAGTGTTGCCTAACACCCAAGACTCTGAGTTGGTCCTGGAGCCTTGATCTTGCTCCTTGTCTCCACCATCACGGTGCTCCCCGGATTCTCTTCACTCAGTAACCAGAAAGATGAATGACAGATCTTTCCCACCATCCACCAACACTGGTGCTTTCTCATGTTTGATATATGCTAGTCCTGCTGGTGTGAGTTGTTGCTTTTGTCCTTCGAATTGCATTTTCCGGATAATGTGTGATGAACACTTTCTCATGGCTCTTGGCATGAAAGCCATACATGTCAAGACATCCATACATGTCTTCAGGATGTGTCTGTTCCTCTCTCTCCATGCTTTGATGGGGTAATTGGTTTTGCTGTGGCTGAGTATCATCAGTGCTTCTGATCCCAGACTTTATCCATTTATCTGATTTTGCATGGGACCAGCAAGCAGGTTAAGTCCAGTATCTTGTCAACAGGTTGGATCTTGTATTCAGTTATGTCAGGTTTTTAAACTTATCTTCTGGGGAGGAAGCTCTGGGACCTCAGTTCCACAAAGAGATGAAGAGATTAGATCATCAGTTTCAGACTGATGAAGAATTCGCAGGACCCAGCTTGCTGACCAACCTGCTTTAATGAGTCAGATGGGATGGAGCCATAGTACAGCTTGGTAGGGCACTTGCCTCACATGCCATCCACCCGGTTCAAACCCCTGGCATCCCATATGATCCTCCAGGCCCACCAGGAGTGATTCCTGAGTGCAGAGTCAGGTTTTAATTTTTTTCAAAGTAATAAAAACCCTCTGAAAAAATACAAGTGACAGGTCAAAGGCTTGATCAGACTATCAGATTTGATATATGGGTCAGACCATGTATCAGACCAGACCATATACCAAATCAGACCACATATCAGACTCTAGGAGATAGAATGAGGAAGTGCAAAGGGCTGAGAAAGATGCTCAGTGCAATTTGCACTTATTTGGTCCAACAGGAACTTTTGGACCTGAATAGCTGTAAAGTCTTTTTTTCTGAGCTGGGAAACTAAACAAAGTCCTAATTCCCAAGCCACATGACTGTTAGTACTTAGAGGATTTGTGAGCATGGCTCTGGAGCAGGCATGCAATTGGGAACATTTCATTGATTGTTGAAGTAGCAGGCTGTGAGCTGTGTCACCAGCCTAGGGGAAGACCAGTGTGTTGATGAGCTGTTTCAGCAGCACACTTGGGAGTTCCTTGCTCTCCGAGGTATGGACACACCTTATTTGTTTAGTGTTAAACTTGATCATCAAATCTTTGATGACGCTTGACCATTTTTTTTTGTTGTTGTTGCTGGGGATGGAAGTTCGCACACATGGCCCATACGCTAGCCCTTTGAGCCATTTATCTGGTGCCTAACAGTTCTTTATTAGAAAAGGCAAGCTTTCCCCTTACCTTGTCAGAACTGTTGGTGATCGGGTGTCATTGGGTGTGCTGCTTGCAGGGCATTGGACTGCTTGTACAGGTGCTGGCCTGGGGCCACACTAAACTGTGGTGTTCAAGCCCGTTTGCAGCTCCCCTGGGCCCACATCTACTGGAGCTTCTTCTATTGCAGCTTGATGTCTACACAGACCACCCACAGTAAGCACTTAGCAAAAGGACTGACAGTCTCCACTAACATGAGTCTAGAGGAGTTGGCCAGGTGAAAGACAAGGAACTTCACACCGATACTCTCTCTGCCCCAATAGTACTCAGGATTACTCTTGGCTCTGTGCTCAGGGGTTACTCCTGGTGGACCATATGGGATGCCAGGGATTGAACATGTGTTCACTGCACATAAGGCAAACACCATTATCAACTCAGCCCAGCCCTGACTCCTAAACTCTCTACCTTTTCACTTCCTCTACAATAAACGATGGCTAGAACTAAGTCAAACTTTATGCCACTTTGAGGCTAGAACCCAGGTCTGAAGCATGCACTGCTCACAGTTGACCATGCTGGCCCATCTCTTGTTTCTACCTACCCTCCTGATGCACTGTAGCACTGTCCTTCCCATGTTCATTGATTTGTTCGAGTGGGCACCAGTAACGTCTCCATTATGAGACTTGTTACTGTTTTTGGCATATTGAATACGACATGGGGAACTTGCCAGGCTCTACTGTGCAGGCAGGATACTCTTGGTAGCTTGCTGGGCTGAGAGGGATGGAGGAATCGAACCTGGGTCGGCGCCACGTGCAAGGCAAATGCCCTACCTGCTGTGCTATTGCTCCTGCCCACCCTCCTAATACAGGAAACAGGAGGAATATTTTTTAGGAAACAATTACAAAATACTCCCTTCGTAGCCACCAGGTGGCAGTAGTGCAAGACAAATGCTTTAGCCACTCTTCCATGTCCTTGGCCTGTCAAAGGCACAATGTCCCCTTCAATCACTGCTTTGTGACTGAGTACCAGAGTGTGGCTCCAGGACAAACCAGAAATCAGAAAGAACAAGGCCTTAGGGTTTCACTTTTTCCCCCTTAAACCAGTCTTTGAAAAGACCTGATTACCCACCCCAAAACTGGATTCTTCAACTGTGTTGTTTTTCACTTTCAGATTCTCTTATTCAAATTGATGCGTTGACTTAAAAGATTATATTCCGAGCTCTCCTGCAATAGTTTTCTAGGGTGGTTTTTGGTGCTGCTGATGATTAAACCCTTGCACATACAAGTGCTCTAACCAATGAGCTATGTCTCTGGCAGTGGGCTCATACACCAGAGACAAATAATCGTGTTTTCCAGTCCACGAAAACTGAGGAACTTGATGCACTTTCAAGTAGAATAAGCTTTGTGTCCAACCTAACTTGATAGTATCGACTGCAGTTTTCCTACAATACAAGTTGTATACTTAGGCTTTAGGAATCCCTCATGGATTTTGGACCCTTTTATTACCGCTTCCCTCTTCGACCTTTTGCTTCATCCAAGTGAAGTGTTTATGCTTTTCCTTCCTTCCAGTTTCATCCTGGCAAGTACTTGCAGCTCTGTGCTCAGCAGGCCTTATGGTTCAGGGAGAGGGGTTGAACCCTACTCCTCCTCCTAGCCTGCGCAGTCAGCCTCTTGAGTTACCTCTTTGCTGCCTCGATCTCCTTTTCTAGAACTTTCAGGACTCGGTTGTTCCCCTTCCTCTTCTTGAAGTCTGGCCAAGTCCACTTCTCTATAGTCCTTGTTCTAAACTGTTGAATCATCAGTGCAACCAGGAAAGACGGCTTGTCTTGTCACTGTGACACAAGAAGACGACTTCTCATGGAAGGAAAAAAAAAAAGTCTCCCTATCTCTCCCTCCTTCAGCCTTTTTTGCAATGATAGGTTTCTGAGGACAAGCTCCCGGTCATCCAAAAGAGATTCTTGAAAGTCACTTGGTCCAGGGCCCCAAACTCAAGTACGAGACAACCTGCCCATATGCTGAGACATCTCAGCTGTGACATCACTGCACACAGCCAGGACACAATGGGTCTTATTCATGCCCAAGAGGTGGCCCGAGTAACAACTGGGCCGGACTGAATGCTCCCCAGGGGCCACCATGTGATTTCCTTTACTTCTCGGGCCACGGGCGTTGGCTGGACCAGCTCGGGGGTCACAAGTATTTATGAAAGTCCGCGGCTGCTCCCGATGAACTTCTTCTGGCCCCAGGAGCACTGGGGGTCGGCGCACCACGGCCAATGCCGGGGCAGGCCTGGGGCCGCCAAGCCCGCGGGTTACAGGGCCCCGCGCCGCTCGGGACTCGCCGTCCGGGGCGTCTGGGGCGGGGGGCGGCCCAGCTCTTGGCCCCGGCGTGCCGGCCAACAAGGCGCCCCGCCGCAGTCCACGCAGGGCCCGCGCCTCCGGCCCGCGGCCGGCCCCGGCCCCCGCCCGCCGCGCCCGCCCCCCGGCCTTGCCCGGGACCCGCGCCCGGCACCCAGCGCGCACCCGGCGCCCAGCCCGCACCCCGGCGCTTCCGCGCGCGCCTCGCCAGAACGCCTGTGGTACTCGCTTCCCTTCGGCAGCATTTCGGCTCTCCCCGCACCGAGGGTGAGCGCGCCCCTTCCTCCGGGGCGCAGGGGCCCGGCGCGGGACCGGGCCGGGGTAAAGGGGCCGAGGCTCCGAGGCTCGAGCGCTAGGACTCGCGCCTCTCCTCGCCGCCAACCCGGCCCGGGCTAGCCAGGCGCCTTCCCAGGTACCCGCGCGCGGACGGAGCGGTGCAGGGGCGGGGCGGGAGGGCACGGCGGCTGCGCAGTGGGTGGGGCCGGAAGTCGCGCGGCTGCGTAGTGCGCAGGGGGCGGGGCAGAAGGATGCGCGGCTTCGCAGTGGACGGGGCTGGAGGGCGAGCGGCTGTGTAGTGGGCGGGGCGGGAGGACGCGCGGCTGCGCAGTGGGTGGGGCTGGAGGACGCGACTTCGCAGTGGGCGGGGCTGAAAGGAGCGAGGCTTCGTAGTGGGTGGGGCTGAGGGGCGCGCGGCTGCGCAGTGGGCGGGGCGGAAGGACACGGGGGTTCGCAGTAGGCGGGGCTGAGGGGCGCGCGGCTGCTCAGTGGGAGGAGCTGGAGGACGCATGGCTTTTTCAGTGGGCGGGGCTGGAGGGCGCGCAGCTGTCCAGTGGGCGGGGCGGAAGGACGCGCGGGTTCGCAGTGGGCGGGGCTGGAGGGCGCGCAGCTGCGCAGTGGGCGGGGCGGAGGACGCGCGGGTTCATAGTGGGCGGGGCTGAGGGGCGCGCGGCCGCTCAGTGGGCGGAGCTGGAGGACGCACGGCCTCTAAGTGGGCGGGGCTGAGGGCGCGCAGCTGCGCGGTGGGCGGGGCGGAAGGACGCGCGGGTTCGCAGTGGGCGGGGCTGGAGGACGCGGCGGCTGCGCGGCGGGCGGGGCGGGAGCCGTGCTGCGCAGGCGCACTGCGGGGCCGGCGGGGCGGTGGCCCCGCGACGTAGCGCGGCGCAGCTGGCGGGCCTGGGCGCGGGGGTCTCCGGGCGGTGCACTTCCCCCTCTCAGCGCTCCTGCGACTCCTTTCCTCCGCCTCAGCTCGGGACGGATTGCAGGATGGCCTCGGAGACGGAGTCCTCGCTGGAGGCTAGCTTCTCGGCTAGCGGCGCCGCGTCCGGGGCCTCGGTGACCCTGCCGCCCGCTCGCTCCCGCATCTTCAAGATCATCGTGATCGGCGACTCCAACGTGGGCAAGACGTGCCTCACCTACCGCTTCTGCGCCGGCCGCTTCCCGGACCGCACGGAGGCGACGATCGGCGTGGATTTCCGGGAGCGAGCGGTGGAGATTGATGGGGAGCGCATCAAGGTGAGCGGTGGGGGGCGGGCGGGGGGCCCCGGCCCTGCTCGCGCCCACCGTGTGCGCAGCAGTGCAGACTTAGCCAGCGGCGCTTCCCGGAGTTTCGGGTGCGCGCGCTGTACCGGGGCCTCGAGTTTCGGAAAGGTCCCGCGTGGAGCGGATGCTGGCACGACGAGGACCACTTTATTGAGGCCCGAGGAAGGTTGCTGGAGCGAGTGCGGGGAGAGGCGGTGACAGTTGCCACGCCTGGAACACGCACACGGGGCAGACAGACAGGACTTGGTGAGCCGCTGGACGCCAGACTTTCCCTTTGAGGAAGCGCTCGGCCCCCGCGTCGGGAGCTGCTCAGCCGCTTCTGCAGGAAATCGAGTGGGTGTAGACGAGTTTAGCAGACGCTCTCTGTACCCCCGAGTCCCTGCTGCAAACACAGCTGAAGGTGCTTCCGTCTCCCATTCTTCTTCAGGCTTCTTTTGGTGGCTCCTGAGACCGAGGACCCGGAGTCCTGGAGAGGGGGCCCGACCCAAGGCCTCCCGGGCTTCCGAGGGGTTGGAATGAGAATCGGGCAGGACTGAGTCTACCGGTGGGACCCACAAACGGGGCTTCATGCTGACGCTCCCCACCCCGTGTCCCGGTTGGCCCCATTTCCTCATCCTACCTCTTCCTGCTTCTCTTTTTTTGTTTCTGCGTGATCTCAGGTGGTGGCTAGGGCTTACTTGTGCCTCTGATCTCAGGGAGCACTCCTGGTGGGCCCAAGGGTGCTGGAGATCGAATCTGGGTCAGTCCTGAGCAAATGCCCTTCTCACTGTATTACTCTCTTCAGCCCTGGCTGCTTTCAGTGAGGGTCTTGGCGATGGACCTTAGAGCCTCTGTGTGGGTGATGCATGCAGGAGTAGTGTCGGGTCTCAGAGCATCGTTCCTCCCCTTACACTTTTGGGGCAAGAAAACTTCATTCCCAGCATCCTTGCCGCCAACGGGGGTGCTCCTGCTATCTGTGGCAGAGGGGAGCCAGTGCTGAAAAGGAATCAGCTCCTTCTCGCCCCACTTTGATTGCCGGTGGACCTTTGGGTGTCCTGTGCTGAGTGGGGAATTGCTGTAGTGGTCCATTGGGGGTTCTCCAAGCTGAGTCTCCTTTGTAGAGGAAGTGATGGCTGTGCCTGTATCATCCTGGGCAGACAGGCGGCTGTATCTCCTTCAGTTTCATCCCAGTAGGTTGGGCCTGGGGAGGTGGGAGAAAAGCAGGGGATTGGGTTATGCGGTTGAGTCTGGGGGGAGCACGGAGAAGGAAAGAAGGGATTTTGGGATTAGGGGCACCAGCTGGGCTGCGATGGGAAATTTAAGAGGGGGGTCAGGAGTGAGGGTCGAGGCCCCCTTTCTCACTGCCTGCCTTCCGCTCCCCAGACCGTGACGCTCACCCAAGCCGCTAGGTCCTTACTCAGCTGGAACCGAGCGGGGAAACATGGGAAGGTGCCGGCAAACTTGTGATGAAGTTGAAAGGTCCTGTTCTGTGCGGGGTCAAATACTGAGTATTGGACGGAGGGTGACCCCCACGGAGGGGCTGTCTCCTGTTGCCCGTTTGGCCCTCAGCTGCCCCTTTCTGCAATCCTCCAGATCTGGTTTGGCCGTCGCTCCACTGAGCCTTGGAAAGACAGGGGTGCATGATCTCCTTCTGGTACTGACCCTGAGCACAGGGTTTACCTCACCAAGCGCTGCTGTCCTAGGTTCCCCCTTCCCCCCCCCTGCCCTGCCCTTGATACCAGGGATACCTTCTCCGTGCCCCACAAATCTCTGCTCTTCTACCCGCCCCATTTCTCTCCTTTCTTCATGGAGTGACAGCCCCAGGTTCCAGCTGCAGCACTGAGTGGGTCCCCAGCACCGCCCCCAGCATCATGAGGGGTGAGCCTGAAAGAAATTAAAAGTTCCTTATTCAGGGGTTTTTGTTTGTTTTGTTTTCAGTGTTTTTTTTTTCCATTTGGGGCCACACCCAGCAGTACTCAGGCCTTGGTTCTGGCTCTGTGTTCAGGTGACCCAGGCCCACTGGGTACACAGCAGTACCTTAACCCACTGTGCTGTCTCTCCAGCCCCTCAGCCTGTCTTTAGATTGTTGCTGCAGCTGTTGATTCCTCTCCACCAAGTCGCGGGAGTCTGTGCTCTGTTGGCAGTGACTAACACATCTGGAAGGCTGTTCCCGGTCCCCATCCGCATGCAGGCCATTGAGCCTCTGCTTGAGATTCGCATCAGCTTGCCATGGCCCGCCTTTCTGATGCGCTTCCTGCGCGCGTCCCTCAAAACGCTCTGGTCCCCGTGTTCCTTCCGGTTCACATTGCTGCTTGTTACCTCCTGCGCTCTCCGCTCTGCGAGGAACAATCCCTTCTTCTGGTTCTTCTGTGATTTGGTGATTTGTCTCTTCTGTCGTGCGTCAGGAGTCTCCCCGCTCTGAGGGTCAGGACTCTCCCTGGCTCTCTGTGAGCGTCAGGAATCTCCCCGGCTCTCCTCTGTGGATCAGGAATCTCCCCGCTCTCTGTGTGGATCCGAAATCTCCCTGGCTCTCCTGTGTGGATCGGGAATCTCCCTGGCTCTCCTGTGTGGATCAGGAATCTTCCTGGCTCTCCTGTGTGGATCAGGAATCTCCCTGGCTCTCCTGTGTGGATCAGGAATCTCCCCGCTCTCTGTGTGGATCCGAAATCTCCCTGGCTCTCCTGTGTGGATCAGGAATCTCCCTGGCTTTCCTGTGTGGATCAGGAATCTCCCTGGCTTTCCTGTGTGGATCAGGAATCTCTCTGGCTCTCCTGTGTGGATCAGGAATCTCCTCAGCTCTGTGTGGATCAGTAGTCTCCCCACCTCTCTCTCTGGATCAGGAATCTTCCTGGCTCTCCTGTGTGGATCAGGAATCTCCCCACTATCTGTGGATCAGGAATCTCCCCAGCTCTCCTGTGTGGTCAGTTATCTCTGCCCTGGCCTGTCATCAAGGTAGCGTAGAGTGCTGGAGCTGATGCCTGTTTCCAGTTTGAACCTGCACTGCATGGTGCCTCCCCATCACTGCGGGTGTCATCCTAGAGTCTCTGACCCCACTGCCCTAGCAATCTCGAGCCTGAACATTGAAAGGCCCTGTCTGATTGGCGCCGCACCTCATGGAATCGGCCTAGAACACTGCTTGAGGGACTCAACATGAAAAAAAACATTACTTGATCACTTGATCCCCCGTTATTCATCGAGTTACTCGAGCGGGTGCCAGTAATGTCTCCATTCATCCCTGTTGCATGCTAGTGTAGCCCAATGACATCTGTTCATTCTAGGAACATGCAGAGCCTCAAACCAATCATTCAGGGTCTTGACAAAGAAGTCTGACCATCTTGTAGGTGGGCGTCCATGCGATCTTTTGACATCCTGTGTCAGTAATGGCTCTAGTCCAGCGGTTGTCTGTAAACCTCATTACGTGTCCAGCCCATCTGATTTTTGATGCCTTAGCAGATGAGACAGCGTCCCTGATTCTTGAGCGTTGACGAAGATCAGAACTCCGGATTCTATCTCTCATTTGAATCATGATATTCCAAGCATAGCTCTTTTGATTCCTTTTTGAGAGACCTGAATAGCGTTCTCATCCTGTTTTCGTAGGGCCCAGGTCTCTGAGGTGTATGTTAATGCAGGAAGAACAGTGGAATCGAAGAGATGTGCTCGTAGCTGGAGGTTCTTCATCCTCTTAGTTATTCTTCAACGCTCTTGAAGGCATTCCAAGCCGCTCTCTTCCTCCTGCGCAACTCAGGTGCCAGGTCATTCATCATGTTGATTTCTCGACCTAGGTATATATAACTGTTGCATTCGGAGATGGTGGTTCCGTTGAGAGCGAATGGAGTGTCAGGAACGAGGCTGTTTCTCATAAACATTGTCTTCGTAAGATTCAGCTGTAGTCCGACCTTTCCACACTCATGGTCAAAGTCGGTCAGCATTTGTGCCGCTTGGCTGATGTTTGGTGTTATTAGAACGATGTCATCAGCAAAACGGAGGTGGTATAGTTGCCGACCATCTATCTTCACTCCCATTCTTTCCCATTCCAGTCGTCGCATGATGTTCTCGAGGGTGCACTGAAGAGTTTTGGTGAAATGGTATCACCCTGCCAAACTCCTCTCTTGACATGGATGATTACATCTTTGTAGAATGGTGAGATCCTGGTAGTGAATCCATAATAGAGCTCACGAAGGATCTTGATGTATTGAGTTTGTACAAAAATACATATATGCAATTAAATGAAATTTGAAAAGTAATCAAATAATGTAGAACAGAAGGAAATTCAAAGTAAAATAAATCTGGGAGGCCATACCCATTGATGCTCAGGGCTTACTTCTGGCTCAGTACTCTGGGGTCACTCTTGGTAGGGCTCAGGGACTGTGAGGGACAAGGGATGGAATCCAGGTCGTTCTTGTGCAAGATAAGCACCTCATTCCCTGCACTCTCTCCAGCCTCGGAACAAATGTCTTTCTAGTGTTTTGTGATTAGTCCCACCATCATATGAATGCCTCTGTATGAAATAATCAAAAGAATGACTTAGGTTTGTTTTGGGGCCACATCTAATGGTTTTGGGTCTAGTGGTTTCGGATCTTTCTCCTGACCCTGTGCTCAGGGGACCATATGCGCTGTCAGGCAGCAGACCTGGGTAACCACGGTAAAGGCAAGCATCTTACCTGCTTGCTGAAGCCCCAGTGTGAGATTCAGTCTTAATAGACCGTGTGTGTGTGTGTGTGTGTGTGTGTGGGGGGGGGATTTGCTCCCAGTCTTGAGAGAATGGATTGTGTGTGTGCGCGCATGCGCGTGCCTGTTTATGTATGTATATCTCTTTTGGGGGTTTCCTCCCAGTAGTGCTCAGGGACCTTGTGATATTGAGGATCAACCCAGACCTTCCACATGACTAGGTCCTGCACTCCGGCTTTTCCTGCTGTCCCCAGTCTCTCACACATGGCAGATATTCTTTTTTTATTGTAATTTTTAAAATTTTCATAAGGTTGTTCACATTGAGTATATTCAGTATTTCAACACCAATTCTATCACCATTATACCTTCCTACCACCATTATTTCAAATTGTCCCACTCCCATTCAAGCCTGCCTGCCACAGACATATGCTAGATACTTTTTTTATTATGAATATCATGAGAGGTTGCCCAGCCACTTTCTCAGGTCCTGAAATTCTAAAATTGTAAATGATTGGGGTCCGGAGACATCTCTGTAGGGAGCTAATCCATTTTGAGATTCATTTGTGATTCTCTGGATCAAGGCCCTTGATGCCCAGAGGTAGTTCCTGGGCATGACAGCCAGGACCCCAAAGGGGCGGGGAAATGGGAAGGGACCGCCCATCCCAGCCGCTGCCTTATGGCCTGGAGTCTTCAGTCCCTGGTCCCAAGTACCTGGGTTTTTTTCTGGATGTTTGTGGCCACCGGGGGTTCATCTTGAATGGGCGGAGAGGGGACCCCTGCTCCATCTAAGGTGCCCTGGTGCGATCTCCGGCGAGCTGCTGTCTTCTGGGATTTACTGCTGAGTCTCACGGCAGATACTTCTTTCCTCCCAATTTCCACATACTGGAACATACTGTGGATAGTGAAACAGTTTTCTCGGTGGAGATGTTTGTGGTAAATCAGTGGTTTCCTAGTCTTCAGGAGAATGTTTTGTAGAGTGTATATGGATGGGTATTGGTTGGGGGTGACACTTTGCATGCCTTGTAATATCTATGCTGGTTCACTACGTAGTTGGGGGACCTCCCAAGTATTGGCAGGGAGCTTGGGTGCTTGGAGAACTGGAATGATGGTTCATTGTGTGGGCCTGAGCTCCATGCAAGTGATGTTGGGGCCACCTGGGTGGAACATAGAGGCCTTCCAGGCCATATGTTGCTGGCACCAAACTCGGTTCTACACAGGCAAAGCCTGCACCCCTGATCCTGGAGCCATCTTCTTTGCTCTGGTTCATTTTCTCATTCAGGACCCGATTCGTGCCTATCACAGGGTCCAATCCCCAGCCCTGCCCCAGCTTCCTGAAATGTGGATGGGACACCAGCTTGTGAGACTAAGCAATCATTAAGCTGAGCCTGGAAGGAACTGGTATTGGGAGGGAAGAAATAGCAAACGGCAGGGCCGGAGCAGTAGCGCAACGGGTAGGGCGTTTGCCTTGCAAGCCTAGGTTCCATTTCCAGCATCCCGTATGGTCCACCGAGCACCGCCAGGAGTAATTCCTAAGTGCAGAGCCAGGAGTAACCCCTGAGCATTGCTGGGTGTGACCCAAAAAGGAAAAAAAAAAAAGAAATAGCAAAGGGCACAGCAGGACTGTCAGGCACGAAGAAGCTGTCCTCAGAACACAATGCTAAGCTTTGCTTTTCCCTTCCAGATTCAGCTGTGGGACACCGCGGGACAGGAGCGCTTCCGAAAGAGCATGGTCCAGCACTACTACCGCAACGTCCACGCCGTCGTCTTTGTGTACGACATGACCAACATGGTGAGTTTCCACAGCCTGCCATCGTGGATTGAAGAGTGCAAACAGCATCTGCTGGCCAGCGACATCCCTCGGATCCTCGTGGGAAACAAGTGTGACTTGCGAAGTGCCATCCAGGTACCTACAGACTTGGCCCAGAAATTCGCTGACACACACAGTATGCCTTTGTTCGAAACCTCTGCTAAAAATCCCAACGACAATGACCACGTGGAAGCCATCTTTATGACGTTGGCGCATAAGCTGAAGAGTCACAAGCCTTTAATGCTTAGCCAGCCCCCTGAGAATGGCGTGATCCTGAACCCGGGACCCAAACCTGCGGTGACTTGCTATTGCTAGTGAATGGGGTGATGCCAACTTTGACTCCAGAAATCCTCCTGCCATCCGACAAGACGACGGAGGGTGTGAGCGTTGTGTGATGGGTCATCCTGACACGCACATGGGCACGCTCACTTTTGTCTCTTGTAGCTACTTACATTTGTTTTTGTCACAGCACCGGAGAAAAATGTGGCTTTTGGGTGAGGTTGAGAATGAAGCGAAGGTCCGAGGCTGCCCACTGATGACAGCCAAGGAAGTTTTTAGACGGCTGCTGTGACGGAGCTTGAAGTCACTGGCCACTCAGTCCTGTGTCCCTGGGACCGGAATAAATAGGGAGTGTTCAGTATGTATTTACGGGCATGTCTGAGTGGGAAATGGCCTTAGCCGGGCACAACCCGATAATTTGCCTTGCTGGAGTTTTTTTTTTCATTGTATTAATGTGATCAGTGGCTTTATGACTGGTACATTTTAGAGCCAAGACTTTACTTTTGGTGGCAGAGGGAAGGCATAGAATGATTTCAGAGACTTGATGAAGAATGACGGATGACTTTCCTAAGAGTTCTGGGTATTTGATATTTCTAAGTAATACCAGTTCTACTTAACTTTTAAAGAATGGGTTAAATCATTTTTTTTAACTAAATTGTAGTGTAGCTAGCAACAGTAAGTCAGATTTTAATGCAAATGAAGTGACATTACAAGGTGCTTTATATTTGATTTTGGTAACTTTGCCCGGTGTGAAATCAGTGGTGAATGGTTGAGTCATAACTTGGCGTGATCAGGCTGCAGCTCCTGAATGCCTGCGTGACTGATCCGCAAGCTCAGGCTGTTATCTGGCTGCATGGCCCTTGTTCTCCCGGACTCCCCATCAGTCAGTTTAGAGAGTAAAAATGGGATTAATCATCCTGCATCTGGATTAGATCTTCGAGAGTGGCCCTCTCTCTGCCGAGGCCTAAAAGCATCTATCCCTGTAGTCAGGCCTGGCCGCACTAAGCCGGGTTCTTCAGCTGGTTCTGAACATGCCTGCAGCACCTTGGCCTCACTGCGTGGCTGCTGTCAGATTAACCCGTGGTTGGTATGCATCGAGAGGCCTTTCGCTGTTGCGGATTGTTCGCATTTCCGCATCCCCATTCAGTGGTGCTGCCTCCCACGGGGTCGCAGCCCACAGTCACGGAGGCTCTAGGTGTGATAGCGCCACACTTAGATTCCACTCACAAGAAGCAAGGGAAGAAACCAAGTGGGTATTGACAAATAGCTCCTTCAGCCGGCAGAGAGGGGAAGGATCTTTTCAAAAGTAGCTTACCTGTGCTTTGTGCAAAGATGGCCAGCTTATGGAGGAAGCGCCTTGAACTCAGCATCAGCCACACATGATCTTTCTCCACAGGCTTGGTGTTGAGCATCAGGAGAAAGGAGGCCAGGAGGTGATCATGGTAGGCTGTTGGCAGTGTGCGGACTCAGATTAGATCTAGTCCTGTACAGACATTTCTTGAATCATCCTGGTGGTCAGAGCTGGATGAGTTTTAAGAATCAGATAATTGGGGGCTGGAGTGATAGTATAGCAGTAGGGTGTTTGCCTTGCACACCGTCCGCCTGGGTTTGGTTGCTGGCATCCCATATGGTCTCTTGAGCACTGCCAGGAGTAATTTCTGAGTGCAGAGCCAGGAACAACCCCTGGACATCGCTGGGTGTGACCCAAAAGAAAAAACATATTTTTAAGAAGAATCAGATAATTTTATCAAATGGACTAGCTGAAAGTCATAATCACAGGAAATAGTTTCTTAGTTTTAAGTACTCCGCGTAAGGAAAATGTTCATGTGTAGGGGGAGTAATTAATTTTTCTTACGCTGGAGTTAAAGATTGCCTGACTATGCAAATCAGTTTTGATTTGTATATATTTTTCTATTGAAAAGTGATAGCTATAATAATTGTGATGGGCGTAGCCATATTTTAAAGAAGGGAATCTGTGTACTGCTTTTCAAAACACTTTCTAAAGTAAGGGAAGAAAGTTTACAGACTTTAAGCACATTTATGGTCTTTTAGTGCTGTTATTAATGGCTTTTTTTTTTAAAAAAAAGTACTACAACTTTATTTTCTCTTGTAAGACGTTAGTAGCAAATATCCTTTATAGTTCTTTAAAAGGACTTTATTTTTCACATTAATATTTATTAATCTTAAAATATTTGTATCTCATTTATGATGATTTATTGTTTTGATTTTTTTGTAAGTTATTTTTATAAAAAAACATCTATCAGTTTTATGGGGATTAAACTTTTAGATATTTTCCAAAATATTTATAAAGCACTTCATCACGAGAAATCATTTCCAAAATGGTGGCTTTCAAACAGTTGTTTATTTTTAAAGCACAAACTACAGATTTTGTAACCTCTGTGGATTTAACTGTGATCATTAATGGAAAATATCAGATTTTGGAAAAGTCCTATTTTGAGACCACCAAAGGATCTTAATCCAGTATCTAATGTGGTTAGTTATTAATGACAATGCTTCATGGATCAGGTATTGTGAATTAATTTTCTCCTAAAAGCTAAAGGCTTTTTTTTTGATGGGGGGTGAAATAGTTTCACCCCTTTCTTTTCATAAAAGTTCAATAAACTAGCTTTGCCAAAAAAAATGGGCTTTATTTCTTTTGTGTGGATACTGTTTTGTATGGAATGAAAATGACTTATTTCCTTTATGTGACACTGTGATTTATAAGACATGGATTGGAGCTCCAGTGGCGCAATCGGTTAGCGCGCGGTACTTATATAAGACATGGATTGTATGTTCTTCACCTGGGTCCCAACTCACTGTTCCCTCCAAAGCCTAGTAATTTCCTAATTTTTGAGAACGGTAGCAGTGCTTCTGGTTCTTGGCAATGAAGTGACTCCCCAGGAACTGGCTAGGAATGACCCCAAAACAAAAAAAGTGTGATACTTTCTCTGTGCTTTTGGTACAGACTGAGCCAGACGGTAACCAACACTTGCCATTTTAGATTATATATGGTGACATTCAACATTGTTACATTTTCCAATATAGCGAACAAATGAACAATCTCATCTGTTGTTTGGGGGTTGTTTTTGGTTGTGCTGGGGAGCTCAACACATACAAGGCAAGTGCTCTACCACTGAGCTACATCCCATTCTTCTTTCTTGCATTGTTTTACTTTTTCTTTTCCTTTCAACCAGTTAGGATGGAAATCCTTCCCAAGTGATGAAATATCATAGTGTTTTCTATTGTGAAAATTAAGGGAGATAACTAACCAAACTGGTACAGTGCTTACAAGCAAACCTCCCCTCAATGAGGTAGGTGTTTCTGTAGGATGCAAAGGAATCCTGCGCAGGAGGAAGAAGTGTTTGTTTCTCCGCCTGGCTGGTTTCTTCCCAAAATCACCTTCTTGATTTGTAGACGCTCAGAACTGGGATTTTGGCTGGTATGTCACTTTCCAGACTTAAGTATCTGAATCAAAAGGAGAATCGTGCTCTGGTCCCAGTGAAGCATGTGTCCCTGGCTAGGGCAAGGAACCTGCTGCAGGAGCCCATCTGAGGGATGCTCCGAGCAAGGAATTAGAAGCGAGGCTTTCCTTTAACTATTGGGCGGATGGAATAACATGTCTAGGGCAGGGGAGGTATCAAAGATGGAAAACATGTTGCCTCTAGATTAGAAAAGCAAAAATGACTAGGAGAGAGATGGAGGGGAAGTGATAGAGGAGGCCTGGAACGAACACAGGCACCAAGATCAGGGGTCCCATGGAGCTGTGCTGTGGGGGGATAGGTGTCTGTATATATCTAAAGAACCAGAACAAAATCACTGAAAGCACGGGACCCAAACTACAATAATTAAAATCCCTTGGTCAGGGAGTCAGTGGATGAAGAGTGAGAGAATTTGGGCCACTGTTGGAGCGATAAGATTATAGGGAGGTGTGAGTAGAGATGGGAACATTTTATGCCTTAAACTCTATTGAAAAATAGCTTCGTAAATCACTGCATGAATTTTTTTAATACTTGAAATTAGGGCCATGGGGGCTGGAGCAATAGCACAGAGGGTAGGGCACTTGCCTTGCACGCTGCCGACCCGGGTTCGATTCCCAGCATCCCATATGGTCCCCTGAGCACCGCCAGGGGTGATTCCTGAGTGCAGAGCCAGGAGTAAGCCCTGTGCATCGCTGGGTGTAACCCAAAAAGAAAAAAATTAGGGCGAGGCGTATAGCTCCAGGATATAGCGTATGCCTTGCAGGAGTGAGGCTGTTTCCCACTTATAGCACCAACTCTTATAAGAAAGAAAATAAAAAACAAAAGCAAAAACCCATCCACATTACAGAAATGCAGAGTCATGTTTGCTCTCAATCTCCGTGGGACACCGTGCACACCGTGCGAGGCACCCTGGGCACCAGAGGGCGCCGGCACGGCGGGGAACTGCAAAGAGCGGGGTGCCACTACCCCTGTGCACGGAGCATCTCCCCGTTTCTTCTCTCTGGCCCTGCACACCCCGCGATTACCTGGACACCGAGAGAAACAACCCGCGCCACCGCACAGCTGACTCATTCCTGCGCCACACGACACTGGCCGCCAGACGCCTCGGACAGGACACCGCAGCCCCCACGTCCCTCTGCACCGACCCTGCGAAGACCCAGCCGGTCTCGCCCACCTGATACGGGTAAAACCCCGCTTGCAAGTTCCTCCCGGGGTCCGCGCCGTCAGCCGGTCTGCCCTCAAGGCCCCTGCGGGCCACCATCCTGTACTTCCGGTCTTGCCACTCGTACATCCGGTTTGCGGGCGGGCACTTCCGCTCCGCCATGCTGGGCGGCCCGGCCGGAAGGTAGGTTTTCCCGCCGCCACCTCCAGCTCGCGTCGGCCTCGGTGCTCCCCACCGGGTCTCTCGGTGACACCCCGTCACCTGCCTTCTCCCGGGCACCTTTCCTCCATGGCTTCCTGGTCTGTGGCACCGGCTCGGCCTTTCTCTGCCCTTCCGGGACAAGTGGCCGCAGAGCCAGCCGGCACCTCAGGCGATGGCGGGAAGGAGCAGCCCCGTCCACGGGGTGGCGGCCGGCGAGCGGACAGTGAGTAGGGGTGGCCAGGTCCACCCTCTTCCTGACTGACTGGGGGGTGGGGGGGTCCGGGGCTTTGTGAAGAAAGGACGTGCCTGAGGGGGCTGAGCTCTGAGGTGAGCGTCGCTCGGCACCTCCCCCAGAAGCCCGCGAGGCACGGCTGGCTCTCGGGGCGACTCTCAGGGCCGCTCGATGCTAGGACTTGGGGCGCCCTTTCTGCCCCCTCACCCCACGCCCGGCTCTGCGTGCGCTTCCCGAGTGTCGTCGTCGTCGTCGTCGTCGTCGTCGTCGTCGTCGTCGTCGTGCTGCACTGGTGAGATCAGGGGTGGGGGAGGGGCCAGCATGTGCGTCTTCGGAGGATGTGCGTGAGGAGGGCCACACCCTGCCGTGCTCAGGACTCACTCCTGGTGGAGGGGTGGGGGTGAGGGTCCAATATGTAGTTCCAGGATCGGACCCGGTCAGCAGCATGCAAGACAAGCACCCCACCCGCTACACTCTCTTCGACCCCTCCAAAATATTTGATGGCAATCATGCGGCCAAAGGATCTTTCGGTTTTTTTTTTTTTTTTTTTGGTCACGCTCGGCGATGCACAGGGGTCACTCCTGGCTCTACACTCAGAAATTACCCCTGGCAGTGCTCAGGGGATCATATGGGATGCTGGGATTTGAACCCAGGCCGACCGTGTGCAAGGCAAACACCCTGCCCCAGCTATGCTATCGCTCCATCTTGTGATGGAAAGTTACCCATGTTCTCAGCTTCTTCTTGAGTGTATAAGAAGCCCGTTATACACCCGGGCAGTCAGTAACTGCCTAACTTTCAGTTCTTGAAATGTTTTGAAAATGGTTACTAATATTTTATTCTTAAGTTTTTCTCTTTTTTGACTTTGGGGCACACCCAGTGGTGCTCAGGACTTGCTTCAGGACCTGCACTCAAAGATCACTTCTGGTTTGGGGGCCATATGGGGTGCCAGGGATCAAACCTGGGTCAGCCAAGTACAAGGCAAATGTTTAACTCCACTATATACTATTGCTCTGGCCTCCCTGTTAATGATATTTTTAAAAACCCTTTAAATTACTTAATGGTTTGAGCCTATGGGGGGTAGAAGACAGAAATAAATCCTAACCCCCCTCCCACCCTGAGGCCCAAAAGAAGACAAGGACAAGATGGTCTATTTTGTTTAATACTTGCGTTGTTTCTATAGCGCAATTAGAGCAATCTTTAAGTTTGCTTTTCATTACAAATATTTGTCAAGTTTTGTTTCAGAAACAGTTTTCCCTACTCTCTTGCACATGCACCCAGACACACTACAAAAAACTCATTCGTAACACAGTAAGGGCAAACATCATCCATGTAAACATCTTTCATTAATTCCCCATAATTTAAAAAACCATAGACTTAGAGATATTGAATAAGGCTCATAGATTTAGTTCAAATTGCACAAAAGACCAATCGGAGATGCTCATTAACTGAGATGGGGTTAACTTTGGGTTGCCAGAAATGCTGAAAGCGTACCCCAGGCTTCCCATCCTTAAAACAGGCTTCACCACCTCATAAATGCATTTCAGGATAGAAAGAGGACATAGAAAACCCAGGAGGAAAAACTTTTGAAGTAGGGAGCATAGAACCCTGAACCTAGCTTCTAGGACAAGTGGGCCTCTCCTTGCAAAAGAGGAGATCCGGAGTGATCCCAAAGCAAGTCGACAGCTCCCCATACATTGGCCTGTGCACGTATTGCTAGTATCCACAGTGAACATTTGTCTTAATGTGTATCATTTCATTATAACCAGGATCAAAGCAGAAAAAGAAGCCGTGTTGAGGTGCAGTATTAAGGGGGTGAACTGGGAAAGGAAGGGTGGGAAGAGAAGGGACGCTGGTTCTAGGGATGATGAGCTTGGTCTAGCTGAGAAAGCAACTTGGAAGCAGGGTGTGACATCACACAGGCAGTGTGACATCACAGACAGTGAGCCACGCTCTCCAAGGAAGTCTGTCTTGGGCTGGAATTTTGGGGGTTTGGGTGTGT